AAAAGGTGATGGGATTAAGAGGTACAAATTGGCCAAAAAACAGATGAATATTTTCATAGCCCCGGAACACAGACAACAAAGTGACGGAGGCCCAGGGCAAGGGACAGAGGCTGGGTAGAGGTGGGCAAAGGGGGATCATTGAGGAATCTGTTAATAGTGTCAACAATAAAATGTAAAATAAAAAGTAGTTCAGATTTCTTGCTGCAGAAAAGTCATGGGGATATAAAGTACAGCATAGAGAACGTAGTCAACAATATGGGGTCAGGTGGGCATGAGATTGATCACGATCACTTAGTAACGTAATGTCTGATCACTAGGGTGTATACGTGAAACTAATATAATATTGTATGTAAACTGTAATTGAAAACATTTAAAAAATTAAATGGCAAAAAATGGTACTATATTAGGAAATGACGACTTTCCAATAAATTGCAAATCACTTGTAGATCATTTGACAAGACAAAGCAAGATGTTCTAATTTTTGCCTCTACCCTTTAAGACAAGGTAGGGAATGCATGACTGTCTTCCAGATTCTTGGCAGCTCCAGAGAAGACAGGTTCAGGGTTAGTTATAAAGGTTTTGGTGTTCTTTGGAACAAGACTGAGAAAAACAAATTCACCCTTTTATGTCTTTTTGAGAATCCAGTGAAAGCTATAGACCCAGAAAAATGCACATACCACAACTTGCATTCAATTTCTGGGGGATCGTAGATATCTTCCAAGTCCGTTTATGAGCCTCAAGTTAAAAACTCCCTTCTAGTAAATGGAGAGCTTAGACGCCAGCCACTAGAACTCACAGTCTACATCCTAGAGAAATCCTGTGTATTACATGATTTTCATGTAAAAGTTTAAAGATGAGTAGGAGATTAAAGATAGCTACTGCTCAAGTTATTTAGTAATAAAATATTCATACTATTACTGCCTCAAAATATCCTGCTTTGCATATCATCACTCCACATTATCACTCTGTACATAGAGAAAGCAGTAAAGCCCTGCCTCACCCAACCTCCTCACCCAGGTTTATTTTTCCTCAGAGAACCTCCCTCCACCTAACTTGTTTGCCTCCATTGACTAGAATGAAGTTCCACAAGGGCAGGGTCTTTGTTTTGCTCTATACCTGTGGTGCATAGGAGGCACTCAAATATTTGTTATATAAATCTTTCATAGGCTTCTCTATTAACAGGTTTTTGTAAATCATTTTACTGGAACTTGGTCATGCTCATTCATTTACTGAATGACTGCTGTCATGCTATAATGGCAGAGCTGAGGAGTTGCAACAGGGTCCACATAGTCTGTAAAGCCTCAAACACTTGCTATCTGGTCCTTCACAGAAAGTTTGCTGACCACCAGTAGCACTCATTTGGCCCACATTTCTCAAGCCAACTCTTTTGTACTTAGAACAGAGTAGATGCTTAAAAACAGCTATCACTACACATATACAGATTTGCTACTTCTAACACGATGTTTGCACATTTAAATCAAAAGTTATTATTTTCCCTTCTCAATGCATTTCTACCAAGGCCACAACCAAAGATTATCTCTGTTCAATAATTTGGGGAATAGAGAGAAGGGATACTATGCTTAGTAGTAGTAAACTTTCTCGTTCAAACTCACAATCGTGCTTTAAAATGTGAAAGCAACGTAACAACTGACAAGCTCTTTATTGATATATTTCAGACAGATGACTTTGCAGTAAACCATAGTTATATTCTCAATGTCAAAATAATTCAAAGATGTATCATTGCTTTTTCTGCCAGACACATTATAGGCGCTTGACAGTCATTGAATGGGTCACTCTCCCCTACGTATTGATTGTGGTCATATTTTGAAAATTACAGTTATCTGAGCAGGAGCATCAAGATTTACATCCTTTACCAATTCTGTAATATGCTCAGCATTGTGCAACCCTTTAAAAAACTATAGCCTTTGTCACTCTCAAGAAAAAACTTAATTTGCAGCCCTGGCTGGTGTGGCTCAATGGACTGACTGCCAGCCTGTGAACCCACGAATTGCCAGTTCGATTCCCAGTCAGGGCACATGCCTGGGTTGCAGGCCACATTCCCAGCTGGGGCACGCACACAAAGGAACCGTACACAAAGGAACCAATTGATGTATCTCTCGCAAACACTGATGTTTCTCTCCCTTTCTCCTCTCCTTCCCCTCTCTCTAAAATTAATGAATGAAATCTTTTCTTAAATCTTCTAAACATGTTTTAAAAGGCTTTATTTTTAGACAGAGGGGAAGGGAGGGAGAAAGACAAGAGCGAGAAACATCAATGTGTGGTTGCCTCTCACGTGCCCCCTAGTAGGGGCCTAGCCTGCAACCCAGGCACATGCCCTCACTGAGAATCGAACCGGCAACCCTTTGGTTCAAAGCCAGTGCTCAATCCACTGAGCCACACCAGCTAGGGCTAAAATATTTTTAAAAAATTTAAAAAAATTTAAATTTGCATACATATCATTGGTTCCAAGTAACTGAAGAGTAAATGGTAATTCCTGGCATCATTTCAGCCCAATGTTTACCCAGGTCCAGAGGTGAGCAAACAATTTTTTCATATTATTAAGTGAGATATCATTTGAAAGCATTATAGACCATGGACTAGGATGGAAATGAGAAGAGAAAAAGGCTAAGAACCTTACTGAGTTATCTTTGCTAAGTAATTTTGAATAAGTGACAATACACACAATGATACACAATCATTTGAGAAAACTGTTTATTTAGAAAAAAGGTTACACCAGTAGAATTCAGTAGATTAAAAAATTTTCTTTTAAAAATGTCACTCAAACTTTTCCAGATGAAAGTTCAGCAATACAAAGCTCCTCTAGCTGTAGAATTAAAACACAACTAAGTTTTGACACCGCCCCCCCCCCCGCCCCACAGATTTGTCTAACATAATAACAAGAAAAAAATGGCATGGACAAGTGAGTGCTGGTATACCTTTTGCTTTTTTAAACAGGTTTTAATGTTGTACATGTACTATATATAAAGTGATCTCTAAGCATTGCATTAGACACTGCTCCCACTTTGATTTTAGTGACTAATATTAAAAACAAGCCAAATAATAAATTAAAAATGAGTTTTAAATGAGGTAAATTCAAAATAGTTCGATAATTGTTTATTTTCAGCTTCAAACAATAAAAAGAAAACATTTCGGATTAAAAAAAAAACTAAACCTGAAGTGAAATTCTGTACACATGAAACCTTAATTGCTTCTTGGGGACTCTATGCAGCACATTGTGCTAAAAATATGGAATAGTTAACACTTTCAGCCATTTACTGAAAATAAATATGTAGAAACTAAGCAACAAGTTAAATACAGTAATGTACAACTCAACAATTTTAAGTTTTCGGCATGGAGCAATAAAGCAGATAAATGAATAATTTAAGAAGATGCAACTGGGCCCTCTTCATTCGTGATTCTTGGCAATCTACTCAGGAATATACATTTCTGGTCACAGCTGAACCATTGCATTTCAATCTCATCTGAAAGAAACAAAGTGATTATATTGATCGATGAAGGAAAGAAAGGAAGGAAGGAGGAAAGGATGAAAGGAGAGAAGAAAGAATTTGGAAGGAGATGGGTAAGGGAGGGGGAGGGAAGGAGACTGGAAAGAGATGGGGGAGGGTAGGGGAAGGTGAAAGGAAAAAGAGGTGGGAGAGCAAGGGAAGGGGAGGGGTGAGGGAAGGGGAGGTGAGGGGAGGAGGAAGGGGAGGGGGAAGGGAGGGAGTTTGGTTTAGAAGAAAAAAATCAGTTGAGTTCTATCAACAACAAAGGCTTGAATTAAGTCCCTAGATAAGGATGAAATATCTGTGTATTTCTTATTGCCCACTCTCAAAAACCATTAAAGATAGGCACACTATGATGACTTCAAAATAAAAAACACTGAACATTTTATCTGTGAAAAAGGGATGAATAGGGGAGGGAAGGAAGGGAAAAATGAAATAGAAACAAGTAAAATGATCCTCAGGGGCAGGCAATAGCTTGTCAAAAGTAAATATAACACATAGCAATGAAAAAGAACCAATTTTACATGATTAACAAAAAAAAAAAGAGAAAAATGACATCACATTTTTCACAAGGGCATGACTTTAATAGTGACTTATATTAAGATGCAATGTCTGCTAAATTATAAAAATTGCTTTAAAAATATATTGACTTAATTATACTCATTTCCTTTCCTTTATGTATTGACATTTTTCAAATACTGCATACTGAAATAAATTCAAAACATGATCATTACAACATGTGGCAAATAACTTATCTGCCTAACATTTTCTCATTCATTTTAAACTAATGCTTAACGCATTACTTTATTGATGAAAATACTACATTCACATATTTCATAAAACCAGAGCTAGAAGAGCCTTAGAAAATAATCACACTTGCATGAAATGCTGACAAATAATTTACATATCATTTCTATACAGCATTCTGTTCATACCATGTATAATCTTGATATCTTCATAATTATAATTGTGGATATGCTAATGGTGAACTTATAAATTTAATACTTAAAAATCATTGTTCCTGTCCATAATTGATGAATGGATAAACAAAATATGATACACATTCATACAATGGATTATTCAGTTATAAAAAGAAATGAAGTTTTGATACATGCTATATCATGGATGAACCTTGAAAATATGATGCTTTGTGAAAGAAGCCAGACGCAAAAGATCACAATATTGCATGATTCCATTTTTATAAAATGTCCAACACAGGCAAATCTATAGAGACAGAAAGTATATTAATCGTTTCCCAGGGACGGAAAAGGGCAAAATTGGAAGTGATTGCTAACAGGTGTGGGGTCTCTTTGCGGTGATGGAAATGTTCTGGAATTCATGGTGATGGTTACACAACATAGTATCAATAAATATACTAAAACCCATTTTTAAATGGCAAGTTTTATGTTCTGTGAATTTTATCTCATTTTTTAAATGGCAAAAAAGTCAATGTTCCAATCAAGAGTATCATGGTATCATTATAGCCATAACTAGAGTAAGAAATAGGTTCTCAATCATGAAGATGTCACAACAGGAGAATTACTGAGCAAGGGAAATTTCGATGACACATTTGAGGGCATATTGAAGGATAAAACTGCTATTGCTGTTAAAACATGTAAAGATGCTCTGTCTCAGGAATGGAAATTAAAATTTTTACAAGAAGCCAAAATCCTCAAGCAATACAATCATCCCAATATTATCAAACTTATGAGTTCACACACAAATGCAGTCTATCTACATTATTAAGGAACTGGTTCCAGGAGGCGATTTCCTCTCCTTTCTGAGAAAGAAGGATAAACTGAAACAGTTAGTGAAATTTTCATTAGATGCTTCTGGATGGCGAATTTCAAGTAAAAATTGTATACACAGGGACCTTGCTGCAAAGGAACTGTCTGGAGGTGAAAATAATGTTCTGAAAATCAGTGACTTTGGAATGTCTCGTCAAGAGGATGGTGGTGTGTATTCATCTTCTGACTTAAAGCAGATTCCCATTAAATGGACAGCACCAGAAGCTCTTAATTATGGGAGATACCGTTCTGAGAGTGACGCATGGAGCTTTGGCATCCTCCTCTGGGAGACCTTCAGCTTAGGGATCTGTCCATACCCTGGAATGACAAATCAGCAGGCACAAAAGCAAGTGGAAAGAAGATACTGGATGTCAGTCTCTCAGCAGTGTCCAGAGTGTATTTATAAAATAATGCTGAAGAGCCCTAGCTGGGTAGCTCAGTTGGTTGGAGCATCACCCAATATACCAAGGCTGCGGGTTCGATCCCCGGTAGGGTACAAACAAGAATCAACCAATGAATGTGTAAATAAGTGGAACAAAAAAAGCGATCTTTCTCTCTCTCTCAAATCGAGAGAGAGAGAGAGAGAGACAGAGAGAGAGAGTGAGTGTGCGTGTGCGTGCGTGCGTGCGTGTGTGTGTGTGTGTGTGTGTGTGTGTTGGGATTACAAACTTGAAAACCAACCCAAGTTCAGTGAACTTCATAAACTACCATCAAGAAGAAAGTCACATAGCGATGAAACAGTGCCAAACTCAGCCTTCAGGACTCGTTACCTTCCAGCAGAATTAATATTTTCTTCTCACTAACAATGAGTTTACCTGGAACATTCTCTAAAGTTTTTTAAATTAACTTTTTATTCAAATACGGGCCCTTTCACCACTCTAAACAAGAAAGCACAGGTTCTAAATGCAATGGATCACACAGATCTATCTTTTTCTCACCTAGGACTATTGACGTTTCTCAAAAGGTTTCTACTTCAGGCTCAGTTCAGAGTTGGCTGCCCTTCATCCTAGACACCTCTACTTTATTGGTGCTACAAACAGCACTGGTAATACCATGTTTGCAGGACACATTCTAAAAACAGTGGCCCTCCACACTGCTAAGACAAGATTACCTTTGTAAATATCACTTTCTATTGAGAATTATCTGGACATCCTGGGTTTTTTCCTTTTTCCTTGCCAGAAATAGGCCCTAACAAATCAGTAACATTGTCATTACCTATGTTCCACCACTCTCTCCTCCTTTGTCAGGGCATCAAAAAACTGCATGCAATGACCTCAAAGAGCACCCTCTCATGGTTGAGACAGCTGATTTTAACTGATGTTATTTCATAGAGACCAATGACAGCAAGAAGCAAGTTTGAAAAGTAGGATGGTCTAGAGAAAAGAGCAGCTAGACTGATGATCAAAGTAGAGAAGCAAGACAAATTACAAAATCGGCCTTTCTTATCAGAGGTATGCTTTTATAAACAGACACTATCTAATTTTATGATCAAATGCACCAAGAAGGTCCTAAAAAATGTTTCAGTAGTTCATAGATTCCTCATAAAAGAGCCCTCCCTCTTGGTGGCAAAATTTGCTTTAGAGAAAATACAAGCCCACAATGAATTAACAGATTTGATTGTCTTCGCCTCAAAGAAGGTATTCCAGAATTTAGTTCCCTTCAAGATTTCATGATACTAGTTTGTTCTCCCTTTCCCTCTCTCCCTGCAAGTAAAAAGGCATATATAGATGAAGTTGACAGCTAAAAAGTGAAATGAACATTTATTTATGAGGACGAAAGAAGTTACAGGGAGAGCCATCCACTTCACTTCTTTTGTTTAACCCTATATTGCTTCCTAGCAATTCTTAACATAGCAAATATACTTTCTGGGATTCCTAGCATGTTTCATGTGGGTAAAATGTAACAGTTAAAAACTGGGATTTTATTGACCTGAACCTTAGCGTACCCAGAGGTGACTCTTGGGGTAAATGCATGTATAGGGGATAGTCATGCTCAGGGGTAAATGGTGGCATTGGAGCCTTTTATAAGTGCTTGTGACAATGTCCAGATTAAAAAAAAAATGCACAGCACCTTACTAAATATTTAGTCTACCTTAAGTGGAAGAAAAAAAATAGAAAATTCCTCCTGTTCTTTCCAACTTTTTGGTGCCTATGACTATCAGTGCACAAAACTTTTGGACACATTCAATGATTACTACATAGAGACCCAAATGAAAGCATAATAAACCTGCCCTCAAAAAATATGTCGCAACACACAAAGCAACTTCTTTTTAAACAGTATACTATCAAATTCTTGAAGTAAACTAAACCTTCCTGAGGGCAAAAAAAAAAAAAGTCAATGCTATTTCTCATCAATCCCAAAGAGATATACTTAATACTTCTGTACACAGTTCTCCTAAAGTTAACAGAGTAGCTGAAACCTAGCAGGTAATAAAGAAAAATACTTGGTTGCTTGATTAAAAGGAAGGAATGAAGTTACTGCCTTTAACAAGATCACAATCTAAGGATAGAGACATATAATATACTCATATATAAGATTCAGTGACTAGGACTCTGTGGGCAAGCCTACACATATGTAAGCAATGGGAAACTACTGAGAAAGAAACCTGAACACTCTCTACTCCAACGCATTACCAGCATCTAGGACTATGCCTGGACATAGCAACACGGTCCTAAAATAATTAATCTTTGAGCACTTAAAAGGTCAGTTTCTAAGTATGGACTTTAGAAACAAGAATCATAACAGGGATTACAAAATCAACTGTTTACGGAGGTTAGTATACGAGGTCTGTCCAGAAAAAGTCCAACCATTGCTAATAAAATGAGAACAGTTTGCATGACATCAATGTAACCTGGCTGCCAAGGAGAGTGGTTTGCAATGCGCATGCGTGAACAATGATGACTTTCCTGTACTAGTCAGTGGGGGCAGTAGAGGCCCCATTGAGTGAGCATGTGTACTATGTGGCCATCACATTCAAAATGACTGAGTGAGTAGAGCAATGAATCTGCTTCAAATTTTGTGTTAAGCTTGAACATTCTCCCACGGAAACTCTCTGGATGATTCAGAAGGCCGCAGCTATGGGCAACTGGTGACTGGCAGCTTCATCTCAACAATGTGCCCGCTCATGCATCATGTCTTATACAAGAGGTTTTTTGTGAAACGTTAAATCACCCAGGTGACTCAGCTCTGCTACAGCCCAGATGTGGCACCCTACAACTTCCGACTTTTCCCAAAACTAAAATCACCTTTGAAAAGGGAGAGATTTCAGACCATCAATGAGACTCAGAAAAACATGATGGGGCAACTGATGGAGACTGGGAGAACTGTGTGAGGTCCCAAGGTACCTATTTTGAAGGGGACTGAGGCGTCACTGTCCTATGTACAATGTTTCTTGTATCTTTTATCTTTTTCAATAATAGTCTCTACTTTTCACATCGCATGGATGGATACTTTCTGGACAGACCTCATATAATGGAAACAAATGAAGTGAGCTGTGTGGGGGCTGACTGAGGTGCACTATAAAAAAAAAAAGAGCCACTCTCTATATAAAGGGGGCAGCACCTAGGAAGGTCTAGCTGTGATAGTGGCCATAGAGAAATCAGGATACAATGTTGCCAGATGTCCCAACTCCTCAAGAGAAACTAAAATTCAGACGTGTCAACTGTTCTGATTTTTAAAGGCGACCATTTTTTTTAAAACCTAAATATCGTGTGAGGTCCAGAAGGTACATCTAACAGGCCATGTTCTGCCCAAGGGCTGAGAATTTACAACCTTGGAATTACAGGATAAAAGAATTAATTAAGTTGCACATATGAAACTGGAGGTGAGAGAGATTAGGCCTTATTGGAGTGGAGGATTGGAATAGGAATGTACAATGGTATATTACAAATACAGAGGGAGAAGATAGAGCTAAGTGCTATGTTCTTTGAAATCAAGAATAAAGTTCAAGATTTAGCTTCTCAAAGTCTAGGAAGAAGTTTGTTTAGCATAGCATCTGGTTCTAAGAAGATTCTCAGTGATTTAACTGAGCTCAACATTCATGAACTGAGGGCCACATGTATCAAATTAAAATTGAGAAGCTAAAGGATGGTTCTAAGAAAAAAAAATTTCATTGGCAGGAATTTTTAGAGATTAAACTAGAGGAAAGGTTAAAGGCAAAGCAGGTAGTAGTGTTCAAGGAACTAAATCATGGAGCAATAAAGAATTTGGACAAAGACTTTAGCAATAACAAGTAACAGAGGATACAGAGAACTAGCAGAAAGAACTGTGCAACTAAAAATCTGGAGACAGGAAAAGACAAAAGACCTTGCAAGGAATTTAATCCGGATCACATTTAAACATTGTTATTTTCTTAGCTCGAATGCAATCATTTTAATGTTTCTGAAATCAGGGTGATATTTACAGTCACAGTTATTTCTCTATTCACCCTTCTCAAAAAACAGTTCTAGAAACCAGTGATGATTCTTAGAATTAACGACACCTTTGAATCACAGAAATGTGACATATGCAGCAGCTCTCCTTTCTGTAGAAAGTAAAATAAATAAAAAACAGCAGGAAGCAGCGTTATCTGAAGTAGCCTAAGGGTAAATGGTGCCAATTTGAAATGAAGAGACCTCTAAAGGTAAAGGAAGAACAAGGGGCAACACCTTACCAACTCTAGAATGTATCCAATAGGAGGCAGCCAGAAAAAAGAAGTATCAACCAGAGTCTCACAAAATAAGAGTCTATCTAAGAAAAAAAGTATAGTACATAATTGTCAGCAAGAAATTGAACAGGGTGATCATCATGCTAAATGAATCTTAAAAGGGCACCTGAAATGAGAAGCTCTGCTACAAGACCATCAGCTTAACTAACACCTAACACCCAGGCCAGTCTTTTCTTGCCTTTGGTCCTGAGAAAGAATACGGAGAGGTAAAGTACAAATTCGTAGCTTATGTGAAGAACTCAAAGGAATCTGTAGTGTAATTTTCACATACCAAAGAATAATATTTAGGTACTAAGTGAAGACAGATGGATAAAAGCACAGTGAAAGTTGTCAGTGACTATGGTTGGCCCGCTTCCTAATGAAGATACGAGGAAGATTTTTTGGTTTTCCTTAATAAAAAAAATTTGTAAAAGCAAGAAGTGAAAAACAAAATGCCAAACTAAAAGAAAGGTTAAGATGAAGAATAAAAAGGAAAAGATTAATTCATACTTCACTACAGGACAGTTAGTTGTTGGAGCAGGGGATGACTAGAATTGAAGAATGTGCAGTAATACTTCTTTTACAATTTTTCTAATTTAAAAAAATTACTAAATTCTATGTTCTCTCGTAACTCTCATTTTACCCTACTCTACTACTTAGATAACAAGCACAGAATAACAAAGCAGAAAAAGCACACCCTAGTCAGGAGGTTACCTATCTGGCAACCTCAAATCCCTGCTTTGCAGCCAAAATAACTATGACAACATCTATACCCTAAAACTCATTACCCTTATACAGAATGGACTCTCAGACACGTCTCACTCTTGCATACTTGATATCATTAAGCAGTGAAAGCTAGTATGTAGGCAAAAAAAAGGACTAAAAAAACCTCAACAACTTCAAATACAGCCATATTGAACCACATGTAGAGGGCAAATCATCCTACACACCTCAGTAATCCTAAGGCATCACAACACAGCAACTCTTCCGATGATGACCTGAGTGCTCAAAAAAGTCTATATTAGGTTCTGAACACTCTGTCCACGAAGAGAGTGGACCACTGTCCACATACAATGTATTTAAGACGGTTAAAACACTTTTTGAATCTCACATAAGGCAAAGCTACCTTGAAAACAAACTTGCATATTTCAAATTCCAGAACTAAAAGCACAGGCCAGATTTTTTGGCTCTGCAGAACTTGAGCAGTGGTAGAGAAAGAGGAACAAAAGCTTAAAACAAAAATCTCTGAACAGCATGTCTGCATGAAAAGGCAAAAAGAACACACAACACTAAAGGGCAGAACCTAGGTTTAAGCACTGGCTCTGTCAGCTGGAGTCTGTCACCCTCTTCAACTTAACCTTTCAGAGTCGCAGTTTCTTCACGTGTAAAATGCAGATGCCACGACCACCTACAAGGCTATAGGCACTTTAAAAAGGTAATTAAGTAGCCAAAGAAGATGGAAATGAGTGGTGAAGAGAAAGCCAGATGTTCCTAAATACACCTTGGTGCCCCCCAAAATGCATAGCTCATCAGCAAGCTTAAAAATGAAAATAGCTGAAAAATAACTGTGAATCTTGTTTTGCATCTATACCCAAAGACCTAGTCATTATGTTTAGGTGAAAAATTCTATCTGTACTTTGCAAAATGAATCTAGTTTCGTCAACATCGTCAGACCCCGTTTTATAAAATTTCTCTTCAAATGAAAAGGAGGTGAGAGAACACTCACCTTGATTGAAAGTCTTCATTATCTGTGTTTGTCCGAGGACTTATGAGTAGATGACAAATTAAGGGGAAAACTAGGGAAAAAAAGAATGGTGTCTCATCTTTTAGTACAATCCCTTAGCTCGTAGGCCTACTTGGCTCTGACCAGCCTGGTAGCCTCAAACTCTACCAGCTCTGCTTCTCTGCTGCAGCAGCTTGCCCTTCAATTCCCCATGCTTCTAGCCCGAGGGACTCTGTTCTTTTTCTTCCTCTCTGTGACAACACAGCCAGAAGGACTCCAAATCCCTTGGTAGCATAAAACCACCTCAGTCAACAAAGAAGTTTAAAAAAATATATCAGCTCTCCCACTTTCCACTTTTCATACAGTTGAGAGGATTAACTGGAGAGACCATTTAAAAGCTAAGAGGCTCTTAAGCATTTAGAGCACATACTACAAAGGTACAACTCTAAACATGAACAGTATCAAAGCTTTCCATTTCACTGATTAAAAGCATCAATAAGATGAAAAGGATATTGTTTCTTCTCTTCCTTTCCTCCTGAACTGTCCCGTTTCTCTTTCTTTTCTATCTTTTCTTTATCATGCCTGGACTCCTATAAGGAACGGTGCAATTAGTTGGGGAAGGAAAAACCAAATAAAAAAAATCAGCTCAAAATCCTGTTTCAATCACTCACCAGTGATAAATTTCTCTTCAAAAACTTATTTAATATGATACAAAAAGCACAAGCAACAACAAAGAATTGGACTTCATCAAAAGTAAAAGCTGTCATGCATCAAATAACACTATCAAGAAAGTGAAAAGACAACCTACTGAATTCGGGAGAAAATTATTTGCAAATCATACATCTCGTAAGAGTCTAGTATCAGACTATATAAAGAATTCTTACAACTGAGCAACAAAAAACAAATAATACAATTAAAAAATGGCCAAAGCATCAAGATTTCTCCAAAGGAAATATACAAATGGCCAAAAAGCGCATGAATAGATGCTCAACATCATTAGTCATTAAGGAAATGCAAATTCAAAACCACAATGAGATGCCTCTTCACACCCACTAGGATGGCTACATAATAAAATAAATATTAAAATTAAAATAAAAAAAAGGGTCGGCAAGAATGTAGAGAAATTGGCACCCTCATGTGTTGCTGGAGGAAATATAAACTGTGCTGCCACTGTGGAAAACAGTTCCGTGGTTCCTCAAAAAGTTAAACATAACATTACCATATAACCCAGAAATTCCATGCCTGGGTATTCACACAAGAGATTTTAAAACAGGTATTCAAACAAATACTTCACAGCAGCACACAAATGTTCATAGTAATAGCACTATTCACAACAGCCAAAAGGTAGAAAACAACACAAAAGTCCATCAAATAACAAATGGTCAACAAGTGGGGTATAGTCATACAATGAAATATTATGTAGCCATGTAAAGAAATGAAATAATTGATTCATGCTGCATCATGGAAACTCTCAAAAACATTATGCGAAGTGAAAGAAGTCAGACACAAAGACCACTTTATTACATGATTCCATTTATGTGACAAAATCCAATACTGGTAAATCCACAGAGACAAAAAGCAGGTTAGTTTTTTCCAGGGGATAAAGGGAAGAGAAAATGGGGAATGACTGCTTAAATGGGTATGGAGTTTCCCTTTGGGGTGATGAAAATGTTTTGGAACTAGATAGAGATGGTGATTGCACAATGCTGTAAATATATTAAATGTGACTAACTGTACACTTTAAAATGGCTATTTATGTTATGTAAATTTTACCTGAACTTAAAAAATATTTAAAAGGAGCAACTTTCTCTTTAAAACATAAAAATTATAAAACTATCACTTTATAATTTTCCAAAACTGCTTTAAACAACTACAAATTTAACTATAAATATATAAAAATATGTATTTTAATATCCACCATAATAATGCTTTGTAATGACTTTACACTTTAGTAATGACTTGCTCAGTTTATGTCAGATGCACGAGATGTATCTTGAATAGCATCCATTAGTACCTAAGAACGTAAACTACACTTAATTTGAGAATCAAACATAAGTTGCAAACACGTAAGGTTATTAGGAGAAAATGTTATAAAAATGTTTAGAATCACAATTAAAGATTTTTGACTTCATGACCAAGAGAATGCAAACTACACTTAGTTTGAGAATTAAATATAAGTTGTAAACACATAAGGTTATTAGGAGAAAATGTTATAAAATGTTTAGAATCACAATTAAACATTTTTGACTTCTTGACATTGTAATGACCAGGGAGAATTCATGTAACCGTAGTTTAATCTCATGAACAAAGAGAATGTAAAAGCATTGTTGTTGTAGAAAAAGAAAAGCTGAAACTCAACGAACAGAAATAGGTGGGAGTGGAAGGGAGAGGAAAGGAATTTCAGAGGTAAACTAATTCTACCCTCGTGGTAATTTGGGACTAAACTGGCTCGAATTCCTCAGAACACCTGCCCCCACCAATGTCTTATCTTCCCATCCCAAGTAATTAACAAAAGACTATTTGACTACAAAAAAAACCCCTCATTATTTGCTAGATTTTCAAAGGGTTAATTTTCTAAGAAAAGTATACTGTTCCTTTGTTTTCCTAATTTACCTTTTTGCCACTGGAGGAGATTTTATCCATTTTTTCAGACTTAAATGAATCACCGCCTTTTTCTTTGCTTGAAGATTTTGACTTATTTTTTTCCTTGTCTTTCTCATTTGGATAAGGAGATTCACATGGACTTTCACTTTTGTGTTTTGAAACTGCCACTAAAATTATAAAAGAGAATCATGAAAGCCATTTCCAATTCAGGTTGATGATTGCTT